CTGCCGTAGAGGGCGGTGCGTGCGCAGGAGGGGCGGCCGATGCTGCGTGGTGATGGCGCTGGGCCTGGCGCTGCTGCGCGGCCGTTGGCGCCTTCCCGCCTCGGGCCTTGGCCCTCAGGCCCGGTTCGGTTCTACCGGCACCGCGGTGCAGAGGACGCCGTCGGCTGCCGAGGAGGCAGGTGAGGGCGCCGGGCTGTATTCCCCCACTTTTCCCCCTGGGCCTCCTTGGGGCCTCCCCAGGCCTCTTGGAGGTTCTTGTGCTCATTCCAGAGTTAGGATCCCCGGTAGGAATGAATCGGCTTAGCCAAGAGGGGGCCGCGCTGTTCCCGAGGAGCTTCGCGTGGAAAGCCCGTGGTTGTTGCAGAGCCCCGGGGCTGTGATGGGTGCAATGTGCAGCCCTTCTGGAGAGGGTCCAGTGCAGAGCCATGAAGATGGTTAAGGGGTTGGAGCATTTCTCATACGAGGAATGACTAAGCAAGAGAAGATTGAGAGGGAATCATATCAACATGTAGAAATACCTGAGAAGAGAACGTAAAGAGAATGGGGCCAAACTCTTCTCTATGGTGGCCAGTGACAGGACAAGGGGTAATTGATGCAAATTAAAACACAGGAAGTTCCACCTCCATGTGAGGAAGAACTTCTTTCCTGTGGGGGTGCCAGAGCCCTGGCACAGGCTGCCCAGAGAGGTTGTGGAGTCTCCTTCTCTGGAGATCTTCCAAACCCGCCCAGATGCCACCCTGTGCCACGTGCTCTGGGTGTCCCTGCTGGAGCAGGGGATTGTGCTAGGTGATTTCTAGAGGTCCCTTCCAACCTAGACCATTCAGTGATCCTACACTTGGGAGCCCAAGCCATGTGCCCATGTTAGTGTTTCAGGGTCTGAAGAGCATTAGGTAGCGCCTCCTTGTTTTCATGAACCAAGATTGTTCTTCTCACCTGGTTTGTCATGTGGCCGTGTGAGTACTTAGCCCAGCATCAGAGAGGAGCATTGGGCTGTATGTGAGCACTGTGTGGAGGCTGAGGTGTTCCTGCCAGCCGTAGTGCTGGTTTATGCCAGTTTAGTGACATTGTGTCACGGTCGCTTTAGCTGGAAATGCTGTGGAAACAAGGGAAGAAAGTAAAGCTGAAAGCCTCTCCCACATTTAAATTTCTTAGGATGGCTGTTTGGATGAGATCTGCTGTGTCTGTGCTGTGCTTGGACTGTGCAAATGGCAGCAGAGCTCAGGGAGCACCGCAGCACAGAGCACGAGTTCTGCTGCGGTGCTCAACTACACACAGTAAAGAACTGCAGAGCCAGCCTGGCCTGGTGGAGGCAGGTCTGCATGTAGGGCTTGGGTTCATCTTCTGGTTCTACAGGACATGTGATTTTGGTCCTTTCTCTGACCTCAGGGGTAGTAGAGTATTTATCTTCTTCATAAAGTGCCTTTTCAGTCTTTTACTGAAAAGTTGCTATAACATTAAACTATTGAAACAACTACTCTTATAAGTCCGTGTGATAGGCACAATAAACTTCTTGCAAAATATTTTTTAATAAACGCTTTACAGTCTTTATTAGCTTGTAGTTAAGATGAAGACCCGAATTCCTCTATCACCCTCAAAAATCAAAAGTAATGTAAAAACCTCTCTGAAGTTTCCTTACCTGATAGTAGCCACAAGGAGAGAAGCGCCTGCTCTCCAGCTTCAAGGTCTGAATTAGGAATGACTGTGTTAACGGGGAGCAGTTTCACAGGCTGTGATAGTAACAGGAGGTGGTCAGTTGGTAGCTTGAGGGTTTCGCAGAGATGTGGTTATTACTTTCAGTTTAGGATGTTGCCCTTCCCCATGTGTAATCAACAAAAGTATTTTCTGTGCTTCCTGATGGTCCAGGATGTCTCAGTTCCAGGTTGATTCTAGAGGCTGTCGGCAGCCATATCTATGGTCAGTACTGTGATGGGGTAAGACTGATCTGTGGGCTAATTGATGAATAAATGAAAATGTAGTATGAAATGTGTTTTGGGAGGTAGGAGTTTACCGAAAAGAAGCTGAGTTGTAAAAACAGCCAAGTGTTTCATTGTTCCAAGGTAAAAGTGCTGGTGCTGTGGTAGTGGAGGTCGCTTTCCTTTTCAGTGCAGCTTTGCATGAGCTTTGCCTGGTGCAGGCTAGGTCCTGTAGTTCTAGGTTACTGCACAAAGTCATACTGTGAGTGCTGATTTTTTTGACAGTGAATAGTTCATAAGAGAAGAACGAGTGTCCCTTGTGTCATCAACCTTCCTGTGGGATCAAGGGAAGCCAGTATTGTTTTCTTCTTGCATTTCCTGGTCTTCACTCTTACAAGTAAATGCCTTCATGAGAGAATTGCACTCATGTTTCTTGATTGTTTTCTTGTGCTGCTCTTGGAGAGCCAGAAGAATTCTTTGTAGCGTTTTCCAGTCCTAAAAGAGTAGATTAAATGTGCAAAAATCTGTTTCAAATCTTCATGTTTGCGTAGCAAAACTCTGATGTGCGTTTGTTCACACAGATGCCGAGGTCAATGGCAGAAAGAAGACATTCACTGAGGTTCAAACAGAACGGTTGGAGCAAGCAGAACGGACTATTTTGATTAAGTGCCCACCAAAAATTAGTGAGAAAAAATTATTACAGTATTTGTCCAGTCACGGAAAAATTAACAGTCACTTCTTTTTTGAAAATCGTGTAAGTAATTGATAATGTTCACTAAAATCTAGACTTAAACAAAAAGAAATGCTAGCACTTGGAGTAGACCTTACATATATATAAGCTGAGCATGTTACAGAGAGCCATTGTATTAAACTTGTTTTTATTAAAGTTTACAAGTTGCTGAGTAACAGATCTTTTAAATCACCTAAGCATCGCCTGTTATAAATGATGGATAGCAACATTTTTTTGGACTTTAACCCTTGTACATAACACTGCTCTCTATTCTAACAGTAGAGCTAAGCTTTTTACATGTTTTTTGAATATTACAATTGGAAAGATAAATGAATTTTAATAATTTTGTGTTTAATGTTCACAGCCAAGTGTTGTAGATATTAATTTTGCTTTGACTGCTTGTCAAAAGGTGACTAAAAATGTTCTGAAGTACAAAAAGTATCACCGAGCTTCAAAACTGTTGTATGAATACCTGAATAACATCAATATAATCAATTCAAATCTCATGTGTTATTATCTAACCCTGTCTCTTTCCACCCTTTGTTTTAGGGTATCCATGCCTTAATAGAATTTTCTGAAAAAAACAGTATAGCCTCATTACAGGATGTTATTGGAATCCCAAGTACTACAGAGTATCCTGTTGTTCCCTTTAAGTCGAGACTTTTTACTTTTGTGATGAAAAACCCAGTGGGTCAAGCTGCTGCTGAGACACAAATTCACCTCTCTCCTCAGTCTCACATTACAGTCAAAGACCTTATTCAAAAACTTTGTGGTGCTGACAGTGTAAGTATAGGTTTGTCAATCTCTCTTTACTAAACATGAATCACATTTATTTCAGAATTGCAAGTGAACATGTGTATCTTGGAATACAGTTTATTTCTGTCTTAAAAAAATAGAATTTTGAATTTCACAATGCTTTTCACGCATTGTAACAAATAGGTGAAATTTGTTATTTTAATTGCCAAATGTATTTTTCCATATGGAAATAAACCTCTCTGTGAATCAATCCTTTATTCAAACCACAGAGATATTAAGTAGGTAAAAGTATATATTATGAGTCACTGTATCTTCACTGTGTTCAATTTCTGCACTAGATAAGCAGTCAGATGTACACTCTGCTGAATGAATATCAGCTCACAGAAGAAAATATCAAGCTCCGATTTTTGGCCTGTTCCCTGGTTCGGGATTTTGCACGTGCCTATTTCCCAGACAGCGTGGTAAAGCCGTTTGGCTCTTCAGTGAACACCTTTGGCAAACTGGGATGTGACGTGGACATGTTTCTGGACTTTAATGAAGCAAGAAAGCACATTAAAAAAATGGTAAGATTATTCTATACATATTCAATTGTTTCAATAATTTTTGACAGAGCGGCTCATTTGCTCCTCTAAATGTCAAAGTCAGTCTAAATGTCAGTCACACTCTGATAAAGGTTTCACATAAGTCTAAATGAGAGATTGATAAATTTATTTGAATGTTTAGACTTGAAGACCTTCAAAAACTGAATGTGACATGGAAGAAGATATGTTTATCATTATAGGAAAAATAATTTGGTGTTTGTACAGGCTTCGTGTGCATTTCACGCATAATTATTTTGTGTTTGCGTGTGCACAGGTATTAATGGAAGATTGTCAGGCTCTTTTCCTTGATTTAAAAAGTGACTTCAACATTTAAAAAGATTATTTCAGATTCTCTTGTTTGGAGGTGGTATTATTTGCTACAGTTAGGAAAATCATATTTGACTATGGCTCTGAAGCTGTTTCATTTATCCTCTAGCTATTTTTGTTGATAGTGTTAACATGAAATGTCAAACAGTTTATGAAAACTGTTTTCTTACTGAGTTCATACAGCAAGACTACTTTCTAATTAATAGCCAATGCTAGGTCAGGGAAAAGAGAAGACTGTAAATACAATGAAACAGGTAAAAGCGAGGTAGGTATTCTGAAATTGTTCTTCATTATCTTCAAACCAGACATACTACTGATGTTCTTATCAGCTTTAAGTTGTTGGCATGGCAGCTGTATTAACATTGCAATCTTGTTGAGTTGCATAAACACATCTGTGAGCTCTAGATTTCATACTGTAAGAATGTTATTCCTGAGGTGCCCTTTTATCTATAGGTGGTTTGAAGCAACTTATCCTCTCATGGGACTGTGGGAGGTGTTCTAGACCTGCAAAATCCTGTGATAGGAATCAAAATAACACAGTGGGTGTTCTGAGAGGCATCAGAGAGATGAGGCCATCTCTTCTGTCTGAGCAGGGACAGATAACTATATGTGTGTATTGGTTTAATGGGAATTTAGTTAGGAATTCTTCAGCACGAGCCTCCAGGGCTACTGTCTGTGCTCATGACGTTGTGTTGCATGACAGGTTAGTAGGCTGCATGGAATATTTACACTGTTACACGTAGTGCAGTGAGACTTTTGCTTTGTGTACAAGCATGGTGGTATCAATAAAAGCAACAAGATTATCTTCTGATGCATATTTTGGACTGCTAAAATGTGGGCATAAGTGCTACCTCAATTTGAAAGGTACATTAGAGAGTTGACCTATAAAGGGGAGTAAAAATCATTAGTGCATCTCGATTCAGATATAACCAAGGAATAAACAAGACCAAGATGCCAGCACCTAGAGAGCTTTATATTCTGTAGGAAGTTATGATGTGGGCACATCTTCCCTAATAGGCAACCAGTGCTTAATGCTTTTGAGGAAAGGCAAAATGGTATTCTCCCTGGCAAATTGTGTTACTAATGTACATAAACTGCTTGTCTTTCTGGGGACAAGTGAATGAAGGAAGGTAACTTTAATTATAAAATGACATAGCAGCAGGGCAAAGGATGCCTTCTGCCTGCCAAGCTATCACAGACCTTCAGGAGGCTATGAGCAGTGGAGGAAGACCAGGTATTTCGGCATTTCTTTACATTTATTTATTTAGCCTCATGGAAAACCAGTCAGTGATTGTGAGTTAAAAAGCAAATGTGAGAGCATTCTTTACCATGGAATTTGTGACTATTCTATTTTTTTTTTTTTTTTTAGTATGGTTTATTCTTCCTCATGAGATATCAAAGGGCTAGCTATCAATATGTGTGTTTGCACAGAGATCATATTTTTAACATGCAGGCTGCTTGGGAGAGTAGTTGAGTTACTTTAAACATAGTTCAATGACCACTTTTAGAGTAACAGATTTTGGATTCAAACAGTTATGCTTCTTTTTGAGGGTAGCCTATGAATTTACCGCAAAGGAGTAGTTTACTTTATCAGCATCTTCTGCTGTGGGCAACATGGCAAAAGGAAGGGGCACATCTGGATCTGGGGCAAGTGCCTCTTGTTCCAACGGTCTTGTGGGAAGGCCCGCTGTGGCCTTTGTCACAAAGCACAAAGGTAAAACCACCAGCACACTGACTCAACAGCCAAGTTCCAATTTCTTCTTCCCTGTCACTGCCTCAGTCTTCTATTCCAGGAAGCTCCTTGCTCCCTTTTGTGTAGATGTGGGCTCCTTCGACTTTGAAGCAGGACTGGCACATAGCACTTTAATCCTGTTTGGCTATGTAAATCAGGGCCCGCTGTTTTGGGGTATGTTCAAGCACTGACTCTGGCTGGGGAAGCATGGGCAAGAGGAGAGCAGGAGAAACTGCCTGAGTGGTTGTCAGGGTTGCACAGAAATTGGGTGCCTTAAAGTGGGTTTTTGGGGAGATTACAGGATCCATGACTTCTGAGCTGTGCCTCTCTGGGTGTCTTGTTCCTTTGCACTAACCTGGCGATAACAAAACGTAGCCTCATGTAGTGGTGACTTGGAGGACCGGTCGGGTCGCTGCGTAAAGCTTTTCACTCAGCGTGCATTCATCCATAAGGTGCTTTATAGGGAGGGGTAAATCAGTGTAAGTATGGGATTAGCAAGCAAAAATAGCTAAGGTTTAAAAATAGACTATAAAAAGAGCAGAGGTTAGAGGTTACATATGAATGCTTTATTTTGGTGTAAGCTAAAAGTATGAAAATTACAACTACAAAAATATACAGGAAAATGCATGTCTAATATGATCAGAATGCAGCTCTAAAATTTTCAATTTTAGAGAAACTTTTTTTATAAAAAGTAAGTCATATGCTAAAATTTTTGAATTCTTTTCAAAGTGGAAAAAAATTCTTTTACAGTGCTACTTGATTCAATAATATGTGCTGTGAGGATATAGAAAGAAAATACTGGTAGGATGAAATAAGCAGTGGTTTGACTGTGTTCCATCTTTTTTCCTTTTTAACTTAAAACTGTACTTTTTTTTTTTTTGGGAGTGTACATGTGCTGTCTCAGAAATTCCACAATTACTTGCTTTAGACAATAATGTGATGTATTATACCCTCATTAAAGCATCTAATTTCACAAAAAGTGGTTCCCTATTAACCTGTAAAATGGAATCACTGAGAAAGAATATAAAAGAGAAAGCAGTATGTTTTACCAAGTTTTGCAGGCCACTTTAATGCATTTGCCTTAGAAGCTCAAATTGCCCAGTCCTTTGCAAATCGTTGTAGTCATCCAGGATTATTCTTAATTCCACAGCTAACAGTTTACTTTTAAAATTTTGTGGTAGGCAAAAGGGCCGTTTGAAATGGAGTATCAGCTGAAAAGGTTGCCATCTGAAAGGCTGGCGACTCAGAAAATCCTGTCCGTGATCGGGGATTGCCTTGATCATTTTGGTCCTGGATGTGTGAGTGTGCAGAAGATACTCAACGCTCGCTGCCCACTGGTGAAATTCTCCCATCAGCCAACAGGATTTCAGTGTGACCTGACAGTGAGCAACAGGTAAGACTTAGTTTTAAACAGTTTGGGTAGAATGTACTTATAATCTGAAAACCTGTGATGAACACTGGTTAGTGGTGTTTGTAACAAGTACAATAAGAGAACTTAATTTGTACTTTGGGGGCCAGCAAATTTATGTTTCTGAGTTGTAAAGCTTTTTTCTTTTCTTTAAGATACTCTTCTCCAGCATAGCTCCACTCGCTAGCTGAACCTGAAGAACACCATGGAAAAATGTTGTCTTTTAATGAGCTGAAAGATGACACAGCTTCTTTAGTCGCTATGTACGTAGGCACGTGCACGGTCATCTTTGGATTACTTTTCAGATTAAGAAACTGCAATGTATTAATTTTCATTATAGTCTTTCAACTGCTGTGTAGTGACTGGGTTTCTAGTTATTTCAGGATTCTTTGGGGTTTGTTTGTTTGTTTTGTATTTGCTGGCGAGGTATCTGGAAAGATACAGTACTTTGCTTCTTCACAAAATTTTTACTGAGGTTAGGATTCTTCACAAGAGTGTCCAATAGAGGGAGCAGGCTTCCTAGAAATATCTCTGTTTCTTCTGTTTCCTCCTTGCTCTCACTTTTTTGTGGGCCTAGTGTTTGATAGGAAGCATTTTTTTGTTTTGTTTTGCTGTCACTTATTCTATGAAGAATAGTGGGTTTTTTTGCCAGTGCTGCAGACATATAATGGATTAAAGATACACACTTAGAAAGCACCTAGCCCTTTATATTTATGATAGGGAGTAATAAAATGTGAGCGATTATCTTTCAAGAAGACTTTGGTACAACTTTTAATGCAGATTCTATGATACAAGCAGATCCTAGATTGAATTTTATGAATTATCCAAAATTCTGCTTCAGAATGCATAGGAGCTGTTAAGGAGTTAAGAAAAGTTATTTTTCTGCTTTGAAGTGGAGCCACATGCATGCAGCCACAGTGAAAGTCAATTCTGTGCTTCCTCGTAGTCCTCCGCTGAGTGGTTGGTCAGTTGTGACCGTCTCTGTTCTCTTCTTATTATTTGGAGTAAAAACAAATACTTGTATAAACAGAGAACCATTTTACAGTCAAAATTTGAAAGTCAAGGAATTATTAACTTTGACGTGGCAACTGTGCCTAAAATGTGGTGGGGTTTTTTTTTTTCCCCTAAAAGAATTAAGTGCAAAATTGGGAGTAAAGACTCCTGCAATGGTAGTTCAAAAAGCTCTTTAGACTAAAAATGTCCCCAAACTGTCCCCAGAATAAGTCTTGTTATTGCATCCATCTCTTTAGGTTAAAAATGTCCCCAAACCGTCCCCAGAATAAGTCTTGTTATTGCATTGTGCTTCATTATATTTTTTTCCTGCTTTTTCTTTGCCCTCTCCTTTGTACTGTACAAGAATGTTTGTACAAGCATGTGATGAAGCAGGTAGAAACCAATGTGTTTGAAAAGCATTATCCTTCTACTTGAGTTTTTTTTTCCATCAAGATCTGAACCTAGATAGTTGCAACAAATGGCTATCAACAGTATGGATGTGGCAACATGGGAACAAGAACAAGCATTTGCAAGCAAGGCTGCTGCTTCTAGCAGTAGTAATTGCTTATGTTTGTTTAAAGCATTTGCTGAACAACCACAGCAAATTTATTTATTTAGCCACACTAAAAATGTTTTTGATACTTTACAGTACAAAATTCAGAAATATATTCTGTGCTCCAACAAACTGCAGGTCATTCAAAAATCAGTCATTTGAAAACTACCAAGTTGACCTGCTTTGCAGATCTCATGGTCTTTACACATTACTTATTTTTCAGTACATCATATTATAACTCTTTGGATTAAGATTGTAAAAGAACTTCTGGTTTGTACTTGTACTAAAATATAGAGATTATCTCCAAAGTCATTAATGTCTAAATGAAATGTATCTTTTCAGGCTATGATTCTGCATAGTTGTGCTCCTGAGTACTTTTTATTTCATTTTTTCCCCTTGTGATATGTAACAAGGAAAGAAAGCAAGTCTGGTGTTAGTTTGCCCCCTAACTTTATCCTTTGTACTATGAGAAGCTCTCGGGAATTGATGCCTGGGCAATCTCAGGCATTCACTTTATTTTTTTAACAGGTAGAAGTTATTTTTTACGGATATCCTCTTCACTTGTAACTGATGCTCTAGGATTGAAGGGCTGGCACTGCACCTGGTACTTCACAGTTCTCTCAATATTTACATGTGCCATGCTTTTTCTTCCTCAGCATTGCTGTAAAAAGTTCAGAACTGCTGTATATCTATGGTTGTCTTGATTCCCGTGTGAGAGCACTGGTGTTCAGTATACGATGTTGGGCCCGTGTACATGGACTTACAAGTAGTGTTCCTGGTGCTTGGATTACCAACTTCTCTCTGACCATGATGGTCATCTTCTTTCTGCAAAAGAGATCACCACCTATCGTTCCAACAGTAGACCAACTTAGAGCACTAGCAGGTAAGGACAGCTATTTATGAAAGAAATTAGAGTGACTTATTTTTCTGTGTTTGAGAGAATGTACAAGTTTCACGTGTTATTTTTGTGAGAAAACAAGACCTCATGTTTTTAAGAACAAAATAATATTTATTTGCAATGCTGAATTCGAGTTGGAGGGGTTAAGGTTGTTCTATGTCTCGCTTATTCTTGTCAAAGGAGTCTTAGTGCAGCTTCCATGTGCTCGCTGCTTTTAGTTTTTTTTTTTTTTTTCAGAAGACTTGTAAATTCTTAACAAATGCGGAGATGTTTATCAGTTTTGTTCACTCATGAATATGGTACATATTGTTTTATAGACACGAAGTGCTTAAAAGAAGGATTATTTTTTTTCCTCACGATTCATGATATCCTTGACACTTTTCAGTCCATCCAGAAATAGTTCTTTAATCTTTGCAAGTTAGCCGTTTTAGCCATTTCATACGTTGCTTTCAGGGTATGATATCTTCACGTATCTTCATTAAGTCTAATGAAAGGACGGAGAATGACATTCCAAACTTTTTATTTCCTCACTTATGTCTTGTGCTTATTGACATGCTTACTTGAAAATTTGGAGTACATGAAGGGTTTTCTTCATTTGCTCTAAAAGCAGTTCACATATTTCCATTAACATTTATTAATAAGCTTTCAAGATGACCGTAGAATTCTTATGCACAGAACAAAATCACCTGTCTCAACTTTACAAAAATATTCCTAACCCACTTTTTTCAGAAAAAGAGGCTAGATAATTCAGGTCTGACTGCCAAAGCCCTTATTTAGTTATTAACCTTGTAAATTTGTGTTATTTAGTGGACAGTAAACCACCGGATGCAAAGGTACCAGTTTTTGTACTTAAAGGAAATAATTTTAGAGGTATAAATATCATATATATTCTTCTTGTAAGGTTTTGAAAATGCTTCTTTTACTCATGCTTCTTTTCCTTTGCTTTATTAGAATTATTATTGTTTGTCTTTAATCATACAACTGGAATCTTGACTTGAAAGTTTGCTTTTAAGTCAACTTATAAGTTGATTTACTTTATGCAATAGCATTCATTGAATTCAGGCATATTACAGATATTGGACATGACGTATTAAATACACCATCATTTTTGTTGTTCAAAGTAAGTTTGCAATTTTGTTTCAGATGAAGAAGACAGGCACGTAATTGGAAGTTATGATTGCTCATTTGTTAGTGATTTAAGCAAGATTAACCCTACAAAAAATACAGAAACACTTGGTGAGTAAATCTTTAATCTTTCTGCCGATATACTGAGACTACACCTTTTCTTACTGTTACTGTAGGCTCTTTTTTTTCTTCCCTTTAGATGAATTGCTGTATAACTTTTTTGAATATTTTGGAAATTTTGATTTCAGAAAGAATTCCATAAATCTTCGAAAGGTAAATACATTTTAATGTCTCATCATTATCTACCGAATTCCTTTCTGCTGTTTGAGAAACAACACTTGTTAGCCATTTCTGTGAACGTTAATTGCATGTCCAGAGTAAATCGGTGATATACAGAAACTGAGTTCTTTTTATGAAGGAAGTGAGCTTTCTTATCAGAAAGTCACTTAGTGTAATGTTTTAATGGTGCTGTAGCATTTCTTGGGCATATTGGGGAGCACAAACTCTAATGTTAAGCCTGTAGGATTTCTTCTTTTTTATTTTTTTCCTCTCTACTGTTGTGTATCAAAAGTGGCTGTTTTAGAATGACTACTACTTTGATTCTGTGGGAAGAGACCTTTTTAAATGTCATGACATACAGAAAAAGTCTGTTACAAACCCCATAGGCCAACGGGCTTCTGCATTTTAAGTTAGGAGTCCAGACCGAAACAGTGTCCACATTAAATCTTGCAGCTGAGTTTTGAAACTTTCTGCTGACATTTCCATTTCCCACTGCAGTTTGCACTAGCATCCAGTATTGGCACTTGTAGTTCAGGAAGTGTGACAGGTAACAGGGTCATTCTGTGTTTGCCCAGAGGCCTGCACCTCCGTTTTGGTCTCTGCATGCATTCTGCTTGTGCTGTTTGTTGAAGTGTATATGCATGCATATCTAAATACACAGACACACTCAGAAGATATGGAATTTTTGTTTTTCTTTTTGGACAGTGCTCAGGTTGATCCTAGAAACTGTTAAGCTGAGGAGTCTTTGTTTTTAAGCCACGAAAAGACAAGCAGAAGCCTCCACATGGTGGAGCCTAGAGTAGGTGTCTGTGCTACTCCTGTGCTTTATATTAAACCAATCCCTTGGGCCCCAGGGCAGGAGAGATGTAGCACATGTGTGACTGCTTCCTCACTGGGCAAGCGTAAGCTGGTACTAGAGCTTGCAGTGGGGCTGTATTAAAGAATAGGTCAGCAAAGGAGCACTGTTGGGCACAGAACTGGCACTGCATTTAAATAGCAAACTACATAGTCTCAATGACCAGGCTTTTACTTTTGAGTGCCCCACAGTAGGCTGTAATCTGAAGATCTCTATTCTGAACTGTGAGAAATTTCAGACAAGGCAGTAATCATGTTTTCTTATACAAGCTCTTGATATCATCACCGAGAGGAACAGTTCAAATATATAGAGTGCTTGTAGTAGTTTAGCAAACTGGGCTGTGAAGGTTAGTATGACACACTCATTCTGCTCCATGCACAGATGGCAATCAAAGTAGGAGACTGTAGTGAGTACATTTGTACTTGTAGAAAAACAAAAGGAAATTGCCAAATGGATGGTCTAAATTCTACTTGTGTCTTATTTATCTTGAAGGAAATGTATGTTGAATGTACTAGGGAAAACAACCACTGAGAGGATTCAGAGAGGAGTCATCATACAGTCAGATTAACAGGGAAATTACCATGATTAATTATGACAAAAAGTTCTCTAGTAGGTCAAAACACTTTTATTTTGGGTGCCAATGCTAATAACTCAAGTGATTTGTTATTTGCTGCGCCTATAACACATGTACAACTTTGGCTTTTACTTTAACTATCTGCAGGGAAAGGAAGTAAATAAACCTGAGTCGTCTCCTCTTTATATCTGGAATCCCTTTGAACAAGACCTTAATATCAGCAAGAATGTTAATCAGCCACAGCTGGAGAAATTTGTCGCCTTGGCCAGAGAAAGTGCCTGGATATTACAGAAGGAAGATAAAACTCAGCGAATGATCAGTAAAGAGCCCTGGGGACTGGCAGCCCTGTTGATACCATTTGGAAAAAACAATCCAAACATGATGAAGAATAGGGTGAAGGGAATAGGGAGTGAAACAATCAAAAGCCTCTTGGACTCCTTGAAGTTAAGTAACGTGAACAATCTACAAAAAGCAGTGGGAAAATGACTTTCAGTGTGGAAACACAGTAGCTGCTATTCTGTTTTAGGAATTTAATGCGACACAGTCTGGAGGACATTAACATTTCTATTATGAAGAAATGGAGAGTCAAATGACTTCTGTTTTCCATTGCCATGCTTTCTGTACAGGTCTGCTTTGCTCCTCTATACAGTCTCCTCCTTACTCTCCATTTCTCCGTCTGTTCTGTGGATGAAGAACATGCAAATACAACTTTTACAGATACCTTTTGGAATTTGCCTGCAGCTAGGCATAGTTTTTAACAAAAATACGGACAGAAGGAGCAGGGGAAAAGCCTTTGGGAATTCTGTTGGCTAACACACAAATGATGTGTTAAGCAAAAGCTCCAGAAGCAACCACCTTTCAGTGAAACCACGTCTTAAAAGATGAATGTTAGTACTGTTGCTTCCATTGCAGCCACCTTCTGGGAGTCAGTAAAACCAAAGTGCATGTGTCTATTTTTGTAATTGTTTTTCATTCATGTAGATCGTGCCAAGACACAATAAAGAGGATGGAATTGGACAGTAGGGTTTGCAGTGTCATAAAGCATCACTCTCCATGGATGCTACAACTGTTTCATACTGGAAAAAATTCTGTGTTCTCAAATTTCTTCCATTTGGTCTTTTTTTCATATGTGTATCCATACGAGTGGTTCCCACTCAGACGTACCCACTCCTCTGTCACCTTGCCTTCAGTGTCACTTCGAACTGGTATTTCATGTTCCAGAGGGCTTTTGCAGTCACTTTTTGCTTCATCTCTCTGTCCCTCACAGAGATCCATAGGGGGTCACTGTTACCCTCGAATCCAGTCCTGCCTTGTCTTTCAGGTATTAAGCAGAGCGCTGCCCATCACCCTCCCAAACTGGCTGGACTGTTAGGGTCAATATTCCTCGTTGGTTCAAAGGCATCACTGACTTCTCAGTGCATCCACCACAGAAGTGTGTGTTTTGCAGGGAGCCAAGCTGGGTGGAAAGGGAAATGGAGAGCAGAGACAAACGACAGACAGATTATCCAGGTAGATTCATAAGTCTTCTAGCTGCCCGGTTTAGAGCCACTTATGTGCCCTAAAAGTGTGCAACTATGATATGAGCAACTACACAGACTGTTGTTGTTACTCTTAAGAGAAATTCAGTACAAGAAATTATGTACAGAGAACACACTATAGATAAAGTATTAATGTTCATGATTAGTTTCATTTTCAGTCAGATTTTTGTGCTGCAGTGGTATATGGTTTTGTGTGGAATTTCTGTTAATGTTTGCTGGGCTGGTATGTTAGTATTAACTGTTGAAAAGGGTGTTTTCCATTTTCCTGAGGTATGCTTACTGGAAAAAAACATGGGAGTAATGCATCCTACCAAAGCACTGGTGTGAAACTTTGTGCCTCCCTCAGGGGAAGGAAAACTGCTCTGTAGCAGTTAGTATTCTAAACTGTTAAGTCTTGAGTGACTTAAAGACCATCTGTCAGATCAACTCCCTATTTATTTGAATTTTAAAATAATATTTGTATGTGTGTATTCATAAATACTTTATCAAAGGAATGACTCACATATTCGTTATCCTGATCGCAGGAATTTTCATATTAACTTCTTCAAGACTGAAAGTAAAAACTCCATTCTAATGTGCTAGTGAGTGAACTTCTTTTGGGTGGCTGGTATGAAATTTATTGTAACTTGTTATTGGCATTAAACCAATCTTTTTGATACCAAGCTTGGCATTAATGCTGTAAGGAACCTTGATATTTATAGAACCTACAGAGATGTTTTTTCCCACAATAGCTATTCAAGCTATTAGAGTGGTACTTGATTCCTAGATATTTTGTAAAGTTAAATAGAAGGGGGAACATTGCAATAGAGTAATGAGAAAATGGCCTCCTAACAATGGAGACATGCACCAGAATGGTGATAGTGTATACCTGCTGCTGAGAATATATTTGTATGGCTTCACTATGATTAAAGTAAGAAAGATCTGATAAGAATTTTGACACCTATGTGACACTGCTGGAACAAAAGCCACCTGTGGGAAGAGAAACCAGGCAGGGAAGAAGTGGATCATGTTGTGAGGGGATGGGAGGATGTTTAGCCAAGCAAGGTGGCCTGATTTCTTGAACACACAAGTGTTTCTGTACTGAAAACAATCAGTCTTGCCAATATTGTTTTGTCAGCAGAAACAAGAATGGGATGTTTGTCAAGAGAGCAGCATGGAGATGGTGTGTGCTTGGGAGCTTGCTCATATGTTCTAATGTCATGAAAATAATGTCTCAGAGTCAAGCAGTGAGTCTTAATTACTTCTCATAAGTTAAATAAGACGTTGGGAATTCAAGTTTGGCATGGCAGAAGAGCAGCAAGGAGTAGATCCGTGCCCCTGCAGTGGAGCACAATGCGCACGTCGGACCTCGTCTTGAGTATGTTGCTACATCTACAGAGAGCACCATACAGAGACACTAGTGCAGGTGATGGGCCAGTGTTGCATGAGGAACCATGTTCTTACAGCAGTATGCCTTAGTTCTTACCAAGACAGACAATTTTTATTTAAATAATTTTGGCAACAAAGAGGTTAAATGTTTCTGCTGAGCTCAGCTCAAGCAAACCTAGTATTTTGAGCCTGAGCTGCTGTGCAGATCTGGTAAATCAACAGCTAGGAAGTTTCTCAAAGTGAAAATCATCCTGTTAAGTGGATACCTCTGTCTTTTGAATGACTTGTCTTGTTCATTGCAGAATTACCACTGGAGTTGTGATCTGGTACAGAATTGCTCTACGTATCCCGGGCCTTGTGGTCTGACATGCTGTGAGGTTTGTTTAAAACAAGGACTAGGCTTTATGTAAGTCAGACCTGTGTCTGGAGACAACATCCCTCCCTTCCTATGATTCCGATAGCTGCCTTGTGCCGATGCGCCGCTTCATCTCTGAGACGTGGTTTGGTGGGGATTTGCTGTCGTGTTGAATGGTGGGTCAGAGACTGTGGGTTTGAGCAAGGCAGTCCTTTCAGTACCCCGGGTACTGAAATCTGCATCTCTGATTGTGTAGCTGTCCCTCATTTTGTAACCTGCCAGCCCTTTATTTGCTGAGTGGTTTAAGCTGGATGTCACGTCGGGTTATCCAGAAGTAGATTCTCTCTTCTACCCTGCAATAAATACTGGTAACCAGCTCTCTGTGTCTAGTGAGCTGCTGGTTTGGTCTGACTTGGAGAGAAAAAACAAATCTTTAATAAAGGTGATATTTTAAAGCAATTTGATTATTTCTTTGGCATTCAGTATCACTGTAGAATGCAGTACTCTCTGCCATGCTTGCTCCAGGAGATGGGTTTGCAGCAAATACACGTGTGCAGTTCTTCTAGCTAATTCTCTGTGGAATATCTGTTTGCAGTGCTCTTAGTTTCAAGATTTCCTTCCTCTTTGCTTTTTTCTTGTGCTTGTTCTTTTCATTACATCTCATCTGGTTTGATCTGTAAAAAACAGTGGTTGTTTTGGCCACATTGCTCTCATGGTGCTCTCTTTGCAGAGCAACCTTACTGCTTACTTTCTTGTATAAATTGAACCTCTTTCCTGTTGCCTTCTCAATGTCTCATGGGGTGACCATTAGCTGGATAAGAGGGGTTGCACCTGTACAGAGGAAGTATTTTAAGAAGTCTGTTTTGTTTTCTGATATTGCAGGTTTCTTAACTGAAATTCCTTGCAAATTTTTTGAGAGGCACTTTATGCTTTGAAATGATTTCTGTTTCCCTGCTATTATTTTCAGTTTCTTTTACAGAAAGATTAAAAAGTAAGACTTTGTTTCTGTGCTGAGCTCTCTTGTGGATGCTAATTTCTACTAAATGTAGATGTAGCCCCATACTGAGAACTTGCATGGAGCATCTCCCTGAATGTCTTCCAAGTTTTATCCATAAGGCTGATGGGGGAAGAAAAGTAAAATTCCTAAAACATAGGCTGCTGTTCATGCTGCTGCTTCCATGGGATGGAGCAGTACCCATGGCTCTGTATCTCTTCTTTCTCATTCTGGACACAAGTAAAACTCTGCTGTTCTTGCAAAGAGAAGGTGCATAGTTATTAGATGTTGTCTGAAAACAATATTATTTCCATTTTTTTTCTGTATTAGAACTAGTATTGGAGTCTTTCAGGACAAGAGGAATAACTTGGAGAATACATGAAGGCTTCATATTTCAAGTAAATAGATAAAATGATAACTACTACTAGATCAATTGCCAATACTAACTATATATTGAAAAGTGATGCCTATAGTGGAATGATAGGATGGTTAGCAAGATTGATGGATCCAGTTTGTTTCCTCCTACAGTTTTCTGTAGGCCTCCCATGGATGTGCCACTTGTTATAAAAGGGTGAGACTTAAGAGAGCATACTGAAGGGAAATAGCAATGTCCACTTTATGGGAAGGTGATTATTTAGGCACCTAAGTAAATAATAGCATCCTTAACTCCATGCAGGGATGGAATTCAGAGATGTAATGACTCCAGAAATACAATATAGAGAATGGTTCTGTGGATCCTTGGGTGCTTCATACATTTTTCTTCTGAAAATTACCTTTAGATAGGTATCAAAAGACAGCTAGATAGAACTGCTTGATACATGAGCTTGCAAAATATGTTCATATTTGAAATGAATGCAATCTCATTTTGTTGAACCATTAAAGACATGAGTTATCAGTCACAGCGCGTACCTCTGCTGCCCACATATGACCTTTGCAGATGGGCTGGGGTGTCACTGGGGCGGTCAGTTTGCAGTTATTTGGCTTCCTCTTGCTCCGGGGGAAGGAGCAGTGGGCAGGGGCTCCCCAGGGTGAGCTGGGGGGCACAGGAGGGCTTTGCCCCACGCTCTGCTCCCGCTTCTGCAGCTAACGGGGCCTCTGCGGGACAAGGAGGGATATTCCAATGCAGACATGTACGGCACCAAATATATTCAAAATACTTATATTTGAATACATATATCTCCAAAACCTGCCTGGATGCCACGCTGTGCCATGTGCTCTAGGTGTCCCTGCTGGAGCAGGGGGGTTGGACTCGATCTCTAGAGGTCCCTTCTAACCTCAACCACTCTGAGTTCTGCTATAAAATCTAGGTTTAAGAGAGTTTACATTGCAGTTGGCTTAGCAATGCAAACATCATGATTTTTCAGTAATCCTAAAAATGCAAATGCTTACTGATAGCAACAGACATTCATGCTTTTACAAGTCGTGCTGTATGTTTTAAGGTCCTTTCTTCCTCACAATAGACAGTAATCTTTGAAATGCTCTTTGCAAGTAATAAACTTCCTATTTCTGCTAGGAAATAAATAGTAAAGATCTCCTTTATGTTTGTCCTAGTAAACTACAGGTCAGTTGTACTGTTCCAAGTCTTTAGTAAGATAAAGGATACCTGGCGCTTTCCTTCCCCAGAGGAAGGAAAGAGGAAGATACGCAGAGGTTTGTTGCATACAAAAATGAGAACATGTTTTGTAGAGCAGTGATTTTCAGCTTATGATCTCCGAACCCCTCAGGATCTGGGGGAGCTATGTCTGAAGAGCTCACAAAAAAAAAGCAAGAAAGCAATCCCCTGCCAAAGCCAACCTGGTTCTCAGCTGGCTTAAATTCACTAA